TTGGGGATTTGGCTTCCACCAATGCAGATTTGGTTACACGGGCGTCGACGAAGTTGCAGCAGTCGTCCAGAATTACTCAAACGCAAATATTCCTTTGGAAACTATGTGGACTGGTATGGACACAATTCACTTTGGAGCTGAAATGTGCTAAACTGCAGCAGACATTGACTACATGGACAATCACAAAGTCTTCACATTGGGCGAAACTTTCCCACTGGACAAAATGAGATCTTTCATCAGCGAACTGCATTCCAATGACCAGCACTACATTGTAATGGTCGATCCGGGTGAGTGACAAATTCTTCTAGGCGACGTTCACGCTAAGCAGTGCAGCTGTCGCTTATCAGGATTATGACGCCTTCAACAATGGTCGCGACGCCGATATTTATATGAAATTTTCTAATGGCACCATCTATCGCGGCAGAGTCTGGCCAGGCGTAACCGCGTTTCCTGACTGGTTCCACGAGAACACACAGGAATATTGGGATAATGAGTTCACGACATTTTTCAGCACCGACAGTGGTATTGATATTGATGCCCTTTGGATAGATATGGTACGTATAACTCCACGGCTAAAAGATGCTTCTCCTTGATGTTGCAATTCCTACATGGCGAGATCTCATACAAGAGACATTTCACCAGTTTTCCGCACAGTGCTTGTGAGAGAAAGCCATAAGTTCTTACATCCTCCATCGAGCGAAACACGCTAATTCGGCCGACTCAACTCTAGAACGAGCCTAGTAACTTTTGTGTGTGGCCATGCGAGCATCCTGAGGACGAGTCATCCACTACCAACATAATGACACCTCCTAGTCGTCTGTTAAAGAGAACAGAAGAAAAGAGCATTACTCATGTTGGAACCCTCCTCCCACCCCGTCAAGATGACGGCTCAAAGCATGGTCTTCCAGATCGCGATCTTCTTTTCCCCAAGTACAAGATTAAGAATACATTCGATGTACTCAGCAACAAAACTGTCAGAACCGATCTTTACCATCAGGGCGGCTGGGCTGAATACGATACGCATAATCTGTGAGTTTCAAGTATCATGAATGATCATTGAGGCATCTAACAAATGGCTAGTTACGGAACAATGATGAGCAAGACGAGTCACAACAGTATGCTGAAGAGACGGCCGTCCAGACGGCAAATGGTTATCACTCGTAGCACCTTTGTTGGCGCCGGCACCTATGTCGGGCACTGGCTGGGAGATAATATTTCTGCGTGGGATCAATACGTAACGTCTATTAGGCATCTTTTACAATTCGTAGCTTTCTTCCAAGTGCCAATGGTAAGGCCCCTGGTTGGTATTGGACTCGGATCAAGAGGCTGACGACAATAGGTCGGTGCTGATGTGTGCGGATTCCTTGGTGATACTACGGAAAATCTGTGTGCTCGCTGGACGACTCTCGGTGCATTCTATCCGTTCTACAGGAATCACAACGTCGCCGGCGCAATACCGCAAGAAGCCTACCGGTGGGAATCGGTGGCAGCAGCAGCAAGAAAGGCAATCGACATCAGATACAGACTCTTGGACTACATCTACACTGCAATGCACCAACAAACCGTGGATGGAACGCCAATGCTAGCGCCCGTCTGGTAAGTGATTTTCCGCCACTATAAGGAAATCTTACTAATCGTACTCTAGGATGCACTATCCTACCGATTCCGCTACTTCTGCCATTGAAACACAATTCTTCTATGGTCCATCGCTTCTTATCAGTCCGGTCACAGAACCCGATGGAACTTCGGTTTCATTCTACCTACCAGACGACGTATTCTACGATCTTTTCACATTAAAGGCAATGGACGGTGGCGGAAAAAGCATAACTTACAATGATGTTGAGTTCACGGACATTCCTGTACACATCAAGGGCGGCTCGGTCATACCCGCCCGCGTTAACAGTGCGAACACAACCAAGGCTCTGCGCGACGAGGATTTCGAATTGCTCATTGCGCCCGACAAGGACGGAAAAGCAAGCGGCGCCCTCTACCTGGACGACGGTGACAGCGTCAATCAGCAAGGCACGAGTGAGATTGAATTCACTTTTGAAGACAACACGATCAGCGTGGATGGCACTTTTGGCTATGACACGAAGAACGGTGTTCTGAGCGTGACTGTTCTTGGCTCTGGTGATGCGCAGAAGTATACGCTGAATGAGGGGTTGGACGGCCCTTGGAGCCATGACTTGTCGAGCCGCAAGTCTCAGACCCTCGCAAAGTAGGGCATTTCGATTTCAACAGATTCATTGCATTCGGGGGTTTCTATGATACCCATGCCTTTCACTGTTCATAATCTATTACGATTCAGACTCTCGCTCAGCCGCAAAGAGATTTTGCTAGCACACGAGGATTACTCTCTTGTAGCGACTCGCTTGAACTTTGTAAGGACTAGGAAATTACACCCTGACAAGTTAATTCCGTCTTGGCCTTTCCCCTTGATCATTAGCAGGGTTTCTCCGATTCTTGCTTCAATCTTTTCCCACATCAGGTCGGACAGGGTGTGACGTACCCGAGGTTGGGGCCGTTTACCCCATCTGCGCAACCACGAGAGATTATCCAACTTCCAAAGATCAACCTTTTTACTCTTGAGATGAAAACCGCAACAGCTAACAACATGGAGAATATGAAACCAGTCGACGTTGAAAAGACGGAGCAGCTTCAATTCGAACAGTCCCATACGTCCCCACAACTATCCCCCCTCGATGCCGCAGCAGATGCCCGCGTCAAGCAAATCAAATGGAAAGTCGACTTGCGACTGTCTGCCATTCTAGCACTCATGTACGTCGTCAATCAAATTGACCGGACAAATCTCCCAAACGCGTGGGTCCTCTTCCCCGATCGAGAGGTCATTTCGAAAGCGAATTAATCCTGCACTAGCGTCATTGCGGGCATGCGTGAAGACCTCAACCTCGTCGGCAACCGCTACACTGTCATCGTCCTCGTCTTCTTCCCATTCTACACGCTTATCAACCCCGTCGCAACGGTCCTCGCGCGCAAATTTGGGCCGAGGCCATTTCTCGCCGGGTGCACCCTCACGTTTGGTCTCGTCGTTATCGGATTTGGTCTTGTAAGGGACTGGAAGGCGCAGGTTGGGCTACGTATTGCGTTGGGGGTCCTGGAGGGATGCTTCTTTCCCTGCGCGCTCTTCTTGGTGAGTATGTGGTATGTGAGGGCAGAGGTTGCGAAGCGAAACGCGGTTTTCTATTTGCTGGGGAATAGCCTTGGTGGATTTGGGGGCGTTCTGGCGTATGGATTAAGTCAGATGGATGGAGTGCTTGGACATGAGGGGTGGAGATGGATCTTCCTGTGTAGGCGATTTGTATTTCCTGCAGTCAGCGCTGACGATCTCCAGGGGAGGGAATCATTACAATCATCATCGCCATCATCGGCTATGTTATGCTTGTCGATTTTCCCGAGGAAGCACACAAGTCTTGGAAGTTCCTCAGCGACGATGAGATCAAAATCATGATTGACAGGGTAGAACAAGACCGCGGCGATGCCCACGTAACGGAGTTCAACATCTGGAGATATCTGGCTCAAGGAAAAGACTGGAAGATATGGTGTTTTGCTGCGAACTTTGGCCTCGCTGGCCTGGTACGTCCTTCCTCTTCTCTCCACTCTCTTCATCATTCATCTAACGCGACAAGGTCGTTTATTCGGTCGCCTATTTCCTTCCTATCATCTTTATCGATGAACTACGCTTCTCCGTCGTGATGAGCCAGTGCTTGACTGCCCCAGTAGGTTACCCTCGTACGCAAAAGCGCTCCATGTCTGATGGCAATATCAAGTGCTACGCCTTTTCCTTCATTCTCGGCCTCACCGAGGCCTGGATATCCGACAAATACAACACGCGCGGCAGTATAATAATCTTTAATGCCGTCCTAGAAATCATTGGCATTGCAGTCCTCGGCTACGCTCACCAGCCGGCCGTTCGCTACTTTGGGGCTTACCTTGTCACTGCAGGAGCAAATTCGAACGTTTGCGCGTCTATGACTTATCAAGCGAATAACGTAGTTGGTCAGTGGCGTCGCGCCTTTACGTCGGCAACAATTGTAGCAAGCGGTGGCATTGGCGGCATCATTGGGACAGTTTGTTTTCGACCAGAAGACGCGCCACAGTATCGGCCTGGGCTGTACACGTGCTTTACAGCTGCTGCATTGACCATCTGTAGTGTCGTTGCGACTACGACGTATATGTGGAGCATGAATCGGAAGCAAGCTTCTGGAAAAGTTATAATTGAGGGGGTTCCGGGATTTCGGTACACGTTGTGATGGAAGATCTTCCTAGTAGAGTGGTACCAGTTAGTAGCTGGTCACGCCAGTGTCGAAATGCGCAATGGCGCTCACTCTGGAATGTCAAGCTTTAATGGCAGCAAGATTTCGCTTCAGAAAATGCCATTATGCGTGTCATTAATCGAAGAGGGTTGTTTTCCTTTTACCTATTTGCGCGTGTGAATGGAAATGAAACTTGGGTCCTGATTAGTCGGAGACGTCGGGTACTCTGACATGATGCAGTTTACGAATAATGGCATACTCTAGAAACGTACAGAGCGTGCAGGCGATTAAGGAGCATCTGACGGAGAAGACTACCAAGTAGTACTTTGACAAATTTGACTACATTACACTCATCGGAGCTCAGTAGCTGGGTGCTGCTCTCCAAGATTCGTTTTCAGGACCAGGTCATGGCTTGAATAATCCAGGGCGTCCGATCCAAAGACGAGTTCAGCCAATTATACTAGAAGGTTCTTTTGAAACAGCTCTATCTCTTTCGCTTCGCAGTCGATGTCATCACTCCTTATGTGACAACACTGAAGGCATCTATTAAGTCAGATTTTCTGGGACCATGCATACCAACTAACCCGCTAGCGCCGATATTTTCAAGACTTCATTGCACACGACCCGGACCTGACGTCCGTGCCCTAAAAAATTGCACAGAAGAGAAACAAAAAATCTGACAGTTACGGCCAAACGAGTTATTTTTTACGCAAAAAAGGAAGATGTTGACTCAGCCGAGTTTCGAACTTTGCGCGGTTAATATGTTATGCGTAACGACGTAATAGCATGCGGGATGGCTTACCTCGGGACCTTCAGTGTACATCCGGGCGGGTGTTAGACTGACGTGATAACCAACTACACCACCGAGCCACATTCTTGTTGAATATAAATATTTTCGACAACTCAAAATTAATATCCATAGATGCAAATCTCGGCAAAAGACCCAGTCGGCAAGCGGCTGTCAAACGCACATTGGAAGCGGCATGTGTCGATTTAGTGGACCAGCCTATGAGCTGGGAGCTATTTTCAAGGTGGGGTCAAGTGCATTAGCGGGCCGAGTCGTTCAGTGCAACGAGCGAAACTTCCAATCAAGAGAATTTTAATTGTTGCGCAACGATGGCCTCCAAAGCCTAATTGCTTAAGGTTTTTTTTATGTATGACGACGCAAGGCTGAAGAAATATTATAACATGCAAATCCGCCCACAGCCCGCACAAAACCACGGAGAGACAAGGGGTACAAGGTCACATCATCACTAGGCCAAACAATAATGTGCTCCGATGCCCGCATCGAGTTCTTCTAGTGCAATTTAACGGCTAGCTAAGCACACAGTTCATTACTTCAAGACTGTTGCGCACCTGCACTGCCCAAGTGCCCTTAGGAGACCGACCCGTTCCCTCCGTCCCGGCGATGAAACCGAACCGTGTGCTTGGGTATCTAGGGTACGGCGATGACTCTACTATCTTGATAGTCGATTCCAAGTTTGTGATAATGGAAAGTAAGGCATCGAGATCAAGTCAAGTGGCAAGCTCGAGGCATCCATGTTGCGACGTCTCTACATGGGGACGCTTTAGGGGGGATTTCGCCCAACGTTGCCTGTTAAGCCCACTTCAGAGCCTGAAAGTGGCTCAAAAGATGGTCCCAAGTCTTACAAATTATCTCCCCATGCTTTTTACCATCCTTCCTATTTGCTGCCAGTCCTTTGTATTTGAGCCGACCAAAGATCTTGTCGTATGCATGTTTGCCCCTCTCGACATGAATGTTTAGAATCTATCAGAGGAATTAGTATATATCGAAGACTGCAACGTGTCGATTCCTTTGTATTCAACTTCTCTCTTGAATGTCGAAGCCCCGAAAAAATCGGCTCGGTAGGCGGCGGAATCGAGCACTTCTTTTGATGGTAAGTGTAGGTACCGGCAAGGGAATACACGGACCGCCCCTCACTGCTCTTATTATCGACGTCTACACGTTCAGATGATGGATAATTCGAGCAAGAAGTCCAGAGCGTCGGCTTTTCTGTGCGCACTGCATGAAAAACGATAAGAGAGACCACAGAGCGGGCTCCAACCAAGCAGAAGTGATTGCAGGGAGATTACATAGCGAAAGAAAACTTCAAGAGTTGTTGGCAGTGATGGGCACAAACGTGAAGTCGCCATATCAACTTGGATGGCGGCAATAGTTGGAGGTGCTACCGGACGGTCCCTGGAGCACCTCCCTACTCGACGGTGGCAAAGGGGTCGAGGAGTGAGGAGGTGCCAAGGTTCACACGGGGTTCCTGGAAGTGTGTTAGTCCGAGGGATTTTTGTTGGCGTGCCAGCCAGTGTTCTCATACGCGTCAGGCCAAGGTCTTGTTCAGATCAGATCTTTCAAGCACCCACTCAAGTTGACTTGGGCCAACTAAGCGTCTTTCCAAGGTGGAGAAGATAGGGCCCACCTGCGGGGAGGGTCCGTCTAGCCCGGAAGAACGTCCTCTGTCCTTTTTCAAGTTGCACTGCGGATACGATAGCCATCTCACGGGCGAAGAGGGCACATGAGTGGCCCGAAAACGTGACGAATGCTGCCGACAGCAGACGGCCGACAAAGGCGGGGACGGGGACAGAAAGGCCGACATGTGCACGCCCGAGCCGACGCATCTGCATCCCCCCCATCCTCCTGAAGATCATGAGGCTTGGCTGAGGCGGGCATGGGAGAAGCGATCAATGTTGGCCGAAGCAGACAAAGGCCGTCCAATGTGAAAGTCCAACTCGGCCTGTTCAATCCTAGTTGGATGTTTATTGCTGAGCAGGCCGCGCCTGCATACGCGCCGAGAGTCTTGTCCGATGCAGCTGGAGTCGATGGGGGGGTATCGTGAGTCGGGTGTGACAGCCTAAAGCAGCCCGTCACGACGGCTCGCGTTGGGCACAAGAGAATCATCACCACTCACAGGCGTGCCCGCGCGTCTGAGCTCAGCGTCGAGACATGCTTCGTCGTCGAGCTCCGCGTCGGGGCTTTTACCGCGCGGCGGGCCAAGAAACATGTTGTCGCATCCTGACGGAGTCGCGATTTCTTTCAAGGCGGGCCAAGAGGCTGGGCATGCGTCCCTGCCTCTCTCGGTCAAACCTCAAACACTGCTCCCTGCCTCCCTCACCCCCGACGCCCTTCGCCGCTCCACTCGACCCTGACACGCTCCGTCTCGGTCAAAGCTTCTACGAGCGAAGCTCACAGCGCCTAGCACAGCCCACGCGTCCGTGGAGAAACGAGGCCAAGCCGACCGTCTCGCCCGCTCCCACTGCCATGCCTGAGGATGCCAATGGGCGACGCTTATCCGGTCACAAGACGACTCGAGCCGACTCTTGAACGCGCAAGACCTCCTGTGCTCCCCAGCCTTGGCTTGGCAACCCCCATGGGCGAACTCCCTGGCCTCCTGCCCGCCCTAGACTGCCAATTGGGGCGCTTCATGCTCATGCGAGATGTCACCGTTAGGCCTCTCCTGAAGTGGCCACCATCTTGAATGCTCTCCAGCCTTGTACCGTGTACTCTGTAATAGGCAGACTGCTCGCACGCAGCCCTCCACGTCTGCCCGTCCGACACCTACCCAATCCCAGTACGCCCACGGACATTTGACAGGTGCAGCTAGAAACAAACATTGCCCACCACGACACCATCTCCGCACCGCGCACCCCGACCTCGGAAGGCTTCCTTCACATGAGCCTATCCCACAAGGGCATCGCGTCTTGGCTGCAACATGAGCTTCTCCCCCTCGTGAGGCTCGAGACCGCGTGCACAGACGCCGTCCATGTAGCTTCGCCGCCCACGCCAGGCTTGTTCTTGCTTGGCCGGGCCTCAAAGAAGTTTCGCCCTGGCTTCAAACAACGGGCACCAGCTTGGCAGATAGGAGCCCGTGGTGGATTTGCTATGGCATCCATGCTGCGCTTGCAGCCTCTTGGCCCGGCTTCACAGAAGTTTCAACCACGCACGAAAACAGTGGGACCAGCTTGGCGAGAGTTGCGTTGAAGATCGCCTAGCAAAGCTTCAGTGCCATATAAGAAGTCAGTCAGGCCACTTTTTTGAATCTCCAGTCCGGCTACTCACTTTCACTTCACTACACTACTAATCAGTGCATCTGTCGCCGAGCGATAGTCTTTTGTTGTGCTCTTCGATCACGTATTCGTATCATTCAACTCTTCTTTCAAACCTCCCTTCGTCTCATCGAATCATAGTCGAGAGTCCATAATCCACCCCAAAAACCATCAACATGCTTCCTCAACACGTTCTCGTTGCTCTCGTTGCGGCCGTCTCCGCGGTCCCGCTTAACATCAACCTTGGCGCCTACTCTCCGGCCTTGGTAGTCGGTGATGGTGAAATCTCGCTGGGAGGTACGGAACAGGCCTCGGAATTGATGGCCACGCTCGCTTCGGGAGCACAAGCTGGCGAAGGAGGGCAACAAGGTCAGCAACAGCCCGCCGAGCAGCAGCAGCAGCAAGAGCAGCAGCAGCAAGAAGGCGAACAAGAAGGCGAACAAGCCGCTGAGGAGAACGCAGAACGACGCGCCATCGCGTTCCCCAACGTCAAGCGCGAGGCTGAGCCCTCCGAGGACGACCACTTTGCCGCCGTCGAGTCTGCCATGGACTGGATCAAGCGCGACCCTGCCGGCTTCCGTCGCTCATTCACCGATGCCCTTACCTACGCCCGCGAAGCCATGCAGAACACGCCCAAGATCGAGCTCGGCACCGAGAACGCTGGTGTCGGCATCCTCCAGAACGCTGGTCTCAACGTCCCCGCCAACTCGGCTGCCAACGGCCAGCCCCCAGCAAAGAGGAGCGAGGTCATCGAGGACTCGGAGGCGCCCAAAATGACCCTTGTCGCAATCACCGAAGTTTGAGTAGGAGGTGAATGGGCTTGTTGCCTTTGTAAACATTGGGATCATCATCACAGGAGTCCACGCCTGGGGATGTATTGGGGGTGTGGACTTCATCTATGGGCTTCAATTTCTTTCTTCGCTGGGTCTTGAGACGGCAGCCAATACCGGCGCCCTCGGCAGCAACGCGGGATATGGGTACTACTAAATGTTTGGGCGCACTTGGGGCGGCTGGGAGCTGGGAGTCGTAGAAAAGACTAGATTCAATGTAACGTCTACGTGATCCAGCGCCGCGCTTTGTCTCTCACATGATAATGCCTAGATTGTAATTCCAAAGCTCGCCGATTCGTCGTCATTCCATCAGCCCGGGTTCGCTTGACGATGTCCCACGGCTCAAGCTCAACGGCCAAGTTCCAGCCAAGTGCTCGCTACAGTCTCAAGACTGCTTGACGATCACCTTGGCGAAGCAAGCACTCGCGCTGCCAAGTCCGTGTGCGCACGGAATGTGAAACCAAATCTGCATGCGAGCGACGCATGGGCCTGTGAGATGATGCCGCTCGCATTCCCCGAGAGTGAGATCGGATTTGCACAGTGGGACAGAGCCTGCAGATGCTTCACCGATAACTCCATCGATGAATCGTTATGGTGAGTTAATATAGCGGGAAAGGTACGAGGAACATATTGAAGACGGCATTCTCAGTATCTACCTATTGCGCTTTGTAATTTATGCAATTGTACCGTGCATTATATTCTCGAGCCAGGGGGGTATCGCAAAGCAAAATGGCATGCGGCTCGATGGGGAAGGAGGTCGCGTGCTCTACCGCAGCCCAGTCCGTTTCAGTACTAGCCTCCGGGTTCTTGCCATCTGCCATCTGCCGCCTGCGTCAACGTCTTAGCCATCTCCATCGTCAATTCATGTCCAAGCCATCGCAAGCATATCAACATGAAATCGAATCCCCGGCACGACAAGTGGAGCAGGGCGCACGCGCTTCACGCTTCGACTCACCATGAACCCTATGGAGCCCGGCCAAGTAA